GTTCATCCAGCTCTGCACTTTGATAACTTCAAAGCAACTGCTTTAGCAGAAGAGGCAGAGCCTGCAGACATACAACTGGTTGATCTTTATTGATGTCCTTTATTTTAAAAGATCTGCATTTTAAATCGGTCAGGTAATCTCTGATATTCTAAAGTTGCATTTTTCTGCATGCTTTGAGTGTGTTTGTGGATGTTAGTGAAACACATGATCTATCAGCACATTTTGGTTCATCATATTTTCTACCCAAGAGGATTTTAGCAAGAAATGTAATTTATATTGTGTTTAACTCAAGAGTACCTGTCTTTCTAAATCCTTATGATTCTACATAGCTAAATACAGACTGAATTGGAAATACAGCATCCATTTTTAACTTTAAAAATCTACTGTAGTCAAGTAATGAGTAGGGAAAGAAAAAAAACAGCCACATCTCCTCAGCCCTAGTTGTAAAAAACTTCTGAAAGCCCTTCTCTTTAATTATCTGAAATAACTCCAATGGAGGCCAGCATCCTGTCACCAAGTCACCCTCTATTTACAAATGATCAGACCTTGGCTTTAGTACTGCCTCTTCAGAGCCAGCGATCAGAATCTCTAACACTCCTCTTTTTACCTGTCAGCCAGGGCTCCCTGATTGGGGTTGTTAATCTGGTCCAATCAGGGAACTCATATTCTATGAGGTCCAGCTGGCTGACCTCATTACAATCACTACATTATCTTCCTTTCATATTAAATGGTTTGAAAGACCATTCTCTTGTACTGTTCCTGTTTCTATGTGAAAGCCTCTGTAATTCTTTCAGTTTTGCCCTGCCTCCCTCCCTCTAAAATATTTAACAGTGTTTTTTTGCTCCTCCCTTCTCCAATCTCCCCCCTGTTTGACTCTACCTTTCCCTCTTCTTAACCTCTTTGAGACACTCTGTCAAGTGCCACTAAGCCAAACATGTAATAGAAAGAATGAAATTAGCTATTGCTTATGCACATCAGGAAACAGAAGGGATTTAATCATGTAGGAGCTTACATCTCCTTAGTATTTCTAGTGCTCAACTGACGCGTTAGGTAATTAAATCCAGACACTGAATGAAAGCACTATGGAACTCTTGAGTTAGGAAATCAGTTATAACAAAGAATTCTAAAGAGGAAGCCAGCTAACAAAAAAAAGTAAAAGAATATAAATTTAAAATGGTGAAAAAAAAGGTACAGAGTACATATTAAGCTATACCTCTCAACTCAGTTGGCATCGGTTCTGTATTTTCAATTATGTGATAGTTCAGCTTACTGTGGTAGGGAATGCCCAAGATTTATCAGTTAGGCGAAGGACATGGAGCAAAGGCAGGGAAAACAGTGTTGTGGTAAACAGTAGGCATGACCTAACCGAAAGGCAGAGCACGTTTGGAGATCTGGGTGGAAGTCCAAAAGAGTGGAGATCCATGAGAATTGTGGGACAGAAAATAATTCAGGAACTAATGAAAAACTGAATCTTCCTACATAGAGCACTGGAATACAAGCGGGTAGAAGCCATGCTTCAGATGTACAAAGACCTAGTTCAGCCATACCAGAACAGTCTCGTGAGCAGTTCTAAAGGTGACACCTGAGGAAGGCCTGAGGGAGGGAGTGCAGAGTGGATTTACACAAGGAAACCTGGACTCCAAGGCTCAAGTCACAAGGACAGAGAAAGTAAACTACGATTAGATTCCTTATAATTTAGAAGATCAAGAGGTGACTTGGACAAAGATTTTAAGACTTGACAAGGTACAGAAAGGATGAACAGAGAGAAATTATTTCTGCTGGATTCTCAGTCCAGCGGGTATAGCAGGTCAGAGTGAAGTTTTTGTGGAGTGAGATTAGGAAATATTTCTTTGAACAGTGTGCTGGAAATTTTGAACCTTCTTCCACAAGCAGCAACCATTTGTAAATCTTAAATCTGAGATTGATAGACTTGTGTATTCCAAGTTATTATGAGATATGAGGAATAGGCAGGTATATGGAGCTTGGTTGCAGATCAGCCATGATTGAATTGAACAGCAGAACAGGGTCTAAACAGTCTCATTCTGTTATTATGAATAGTGTAATCGTGTCTCTAGAGCCATGAGACAGTGTGAAAATTACAGCAGTCTATGGTTAATATCAGTCAGCAAGTAAAATCCCAACATTTCCAAGATTAATATCACAAGGAAGGAAATGGCCAGTATTTTGGGGGCTGATATCACACGGTGAGGAAATGATGAGTGCTCGAGGGGTTAATATCATTGAGAGAGAAAATGATGAGTGCTTGAGGGGTTAATATCATTGAGAGAGGAAACGATGAGTGTTTGAGGGGTTAATATCACTGAGTGGGGTAATGATGAGTGTTTGAGGGGTTAATATCAC